AGGAAATAAAACTTACAGCTCCTGCCTGGTTTCCCTCTGAGACACAGAGACACATCTAGTATCTGTCACCAGTGCTTGAATCACACAAAGTGTGGGCTGCTGTGTCTCTGTGTTTGCGTGACAGGCTGGAGGTGAAGGCAGGAGCTGTTAGATCTGAGGTTGAAGCAAACATCAAAAACAACTGTCAGGCTGCCTCTTTGATCACAAATGCGCCCGACGGCTGTTTTCACAGAGCTGAGCGGCCCGGGTACTTTGGACGAAAGTGGAAACGTTCCACGCTGCTCGTGTGCTGAACATTACATTAAAACCACGAAAGTGCAGAAAGCAGGAAACTAGCTGCCGACGAAGCTCCACCTGTTAGTCATGCTTTCTCTAAAAGAAGGCAACAAAAGCAGTGCCACACCAAGTCCCACTCAACGCTTCACTCACAGCCTGAACTGTCCACGCACGCTGCAGCACACAGACATTCAGTAACAGCAGATTTATGCTCAAATTTGAAAGATGCATAGTGACACTGCACAGAGAGAGAAATGACTCACTGAACTTTGCACCAACGTCTCATCTGCTGCACTAACTCACCACAAACCCCAACCAGGTCAAACTGCTGAACAACAACGTGTGAAAATGGCCAAAGGAAGCCAGGAGACGATTAAAATAGCAGCAGCAGGTATAACACACATCTCTGGGTCACAGCCAGTCTGCAGCCCATGCTGGGTCACCTCCCCCCCTCCACCCAACACACCCACGATGGCTGAAACATGAAGTCAGTGTAAAACCAGGTTACCTCTCTTGAAGGACCATCTCTTCATCCAGAGTCTGGAGAAGGATGGCCAGGAGTTGTTAAGAGGAGAGTCCGCCATAGGAGCAGCACAGCGGGTAGGCCAGCAGGAACTGGAGCTCGCTCGAGCTCTGGCACCCAGCAAGAGGAAGAGGGAGGTGAGAGAGGGAGGGAGGAAGAGCGAGAGCGGCTCGGAGCTAAGAGTTACCTCCAGTGGAGAGAGAGAGTGAAGAAGCATATCAGTGTGGTTTCTTTAAAAGGGGTGAGGGAGCGGGCCCTCAGACTTCCCCGGGGGGGGGCTCTTGTTTTTAGATTCATTTGAAGCTGATTGAATGACAAAGTAAGGAGGAGGAGAGATCTGCAGTTTTATTTCAACATTACTCATAAAATGGATCCATACCGCTGTGCAAACGTCTCCAGTCACCACTTATTTCTCTGTGTTTGGATTCAAAGCGTGCAGCGAGAAACGCTTCAGACTTTCTGAAGCTCTTTCAAAGCTTTTTCTTTTTGTGTGGATGCTTTTCCCTCGTTTTCAGTCCAGTCATCGTAGCATTTGCTGTCTTTCTTGGTCCACTTAACACTGACCTATGAGTCATTCAAGCATGCAGAAGACGCCAACTCAAAGGATGAGCCCTGAACAGGAACGTTAGCCAAGAACCGATTTAAGCACTTTGCACTTTCGGGCCTTGGGAGAAGAAATCCAGCAAAGACCCGACACAGGATGTGACGGAGAACAAAGGTCCAGTCATGCCAAATACTGACTTCCAGGCTTGTTAACTTGTACAAACCTCCTGCTTTAGACCAGTTAGCAGACGTAGCTGTTTTAGAGAAACAAAAACAGAAAAGGAGAAGGAAGCATACGCAATGAAAGTGCAGGGTAATGATCCATGCTGGGTTTTTCTTAGACTCCGATTCTGGGAAACTGCACAGAAAAGATCAAGTCTAACAGCTAAAGCAGTCAATTTGAGCTGAAACAGGAGGTACTGTACAAACCGCTGTCTGCTGCAGCTGCTAGACACGGGGCTTGGCACTTCTTGCAACTATTTCCTTTGCACCAGCGTCGCTGCAGACGACTGTCAGTGCACATCATGTGGAAGACTCTCCCTGCTTTCCCACAGATGACACGGCTCGAAGCGTATTACAACTGAAATGTGCTGCACATC